TTAATCACAGAGGCAAAAAACAGCGAATCACCAAGGCAACAAGATGGCGCATTCTGATATGGACTTTTTTCATTTCAGTAATCGATGAAGGCTCAATTGTCGGGAGCTCAATTGTCGGGAGCTCAACTGTCGGGAGGCTCAACTGTCGGGAGGCTCAACTGTCGGGGGCTCAATTGTCGGGGGCTCAACTGTCGGAGCTCAATTGTCGGGAGCTCAACTGTCGGTGTACCGGATAAAAGATAATATCACGTATTTTTCAAAACATACACTTTGCGAATGTCATAAAAACCATTTATTTTTCCAGCTTTTATGACGCAAGCAGTATGTAGATGAGTATGGATCTTTTTTGCCCGAAGGTCACATTCTCATGTCTTCGCCCTAACACCCACATCTACATACACCGAGACACTATTTCGCTTAAGTTGTGAACACAAGAATGAAACACGTCTCCAAAGAGGCGGCGCTCAAGTGGACATTTTTTTGAATGAATTATCTTTATAAATAAATAAATTAATTAAATGCGTGAGTATGAAGAATAATAATAATAGAATAATATCCCTACCTTTCAGCTACATTTTAGTATACATTGTAATTTTTTTTTTGAAACTCTACTTTGTAGAAAATCGACTTTAAATAGGCTTAAGCATATTCAAACGTTCATTATTCACTCTTCGAACTTTGAGAATTCAGAGAATGCTTGATTTGCTTAATTGTAGAAATTCAATTTGATTTTCGGAAAAAATTCATTTTGGAAAAACCGACAGTAGTCGTAAATAGAGCTCCACAATCAATTTCGATTCGAGAAATTTGCTGTATTCATTACCACATGTTTCATATACATTTTTGAGAAAATCAATTAATGTAATTGATTACAGCATCAGATTCGTATTATATCATTTAGGTGATGAAATAAACTGATCTTTGATCAAATGCAAAGATCTTTCATTTGCAAATGTAGCGGCCTTGTTCATATTGCCCGAATCTATGTGATGCAGATTTTCTGTAGAAAAGTTGCTTACATATTATGGAAGTTCCTCTCATCATAAGACGAAAAAAATACATCATGTTAAATACAAGACTACAGATGTTGTTTTTGTTACATGGAAGAGAATTTTTGTTATTTGTCGAAATAAGTTACTATATATATATCAAAATAAGATGGAGATTTATTTTTTATTGTTAATACATAGTAAGAATGAAAAGCACTTTTGATGCGATAAGAATGCATTTTTTTTACACAAAGTAGAACGCTATCAATATACAGGGTGTTCCAAAAGCCCGATCGAAAAAGAAACGTGATTATCTTTCTAAGCGCTCAAGCGATTTACTTGAGCTTTTGATCCCATATATTTGACTGCGACGCAGAATTGGCTCTACGCGTAACCGCGACGCAGTCGTTAAAAAAGTGGCAACATGGGATAGTTCTATTCTATATTCATTGAAGTTTCATTTCATATAAATTTGTCTATAACAACTTTACCAAATGATTACTTACAAACGCAATAACGAAACCTACCCTTTTCAACATATCTGTAAAAACATGTTGTAAAACTTTTTTGCAAAATTTTCTATAACAGCCATCAAGAACGTGTTAAAATAGTGCAAGATAGTGGAGTGAAGAGAATTCACATAGAACTATTATGTTTGTTACACGGTCTTTGAAAGTCAACATTTACGTTACAGTGTTAAAAAATCCATTGTTCGGGTAATTTTTGTTTTGCGGTAACATTGTCAACAAAAACAAATACTTAATACACGGTTACATTTTCTTTTATTCTAGGATTAAGAAGATTATGCAAGATGAACCCTATAATATTTTACAAAGATAAAATTTTTCCGCATTTTAGCCACCAAGTCTGTAAGTTTTAAAGAACATGTCTTCAAAACAAATACATTAGAATAGGCCATTCATCTTAACGATTACCCATAGATGTCATAATACCATTACACTGGGTATCGAGAAGTAAATGTCAGAATACCCTATAGAGTAATCAACTAAAAGTGAATTCATTTACACGATGAAACTTACGCCAAGGGGTTATGACTTTCTTACTCCATAAATGAACTACATGTTTTTAAAATTGAGGAATTTGAGTGAATTTGGGATAACGACCTCGTTACTCCAAATTCACTCAAATTCCTCAACTTTATAACATACAGTTATAGTTTAGAGGTCGTTACCCTTGGAGTAATACCTCAAATTCACTTAAATGCCTCGACTTTAGAATATTTATTTAGATTTTGGAAGTCATTCCCCTTCGGGTAATACACCACATTGACCCGTATTCCCCAAGTTTTGGTGTATAGTTATAGTTTAGAATACCGAATTGGATGCTCTTGAAGGTATCGTATCGTATATGAAAATGGATACTTCTCCATTCAATACGCGGAGACTACATTAAAAGCAAATTCGGATACCGAGTGTAACGGAATTATGACACCACCCCGATTACCACGGTCAAACAATCTAATGCAACTCGGTGATTTTTCTTAGAAACATTTCTGAAAGACGTCTGTTAAAAGTTTTATTCTAATTGGATACGATAATCCATAATAAGATCAAAAAGGTTTTAAAATAAAAATGTACATGATACTTTTGCATACATGTTGAAAAGAGTAGGCTTGAGTATTGCATTGCCAAGTAATTATTTTGTACTTTTATTATAGACAAATTTATATGAAACAAAACTTCGATAAATATGAAATGAAACTATAAAAATTTCAAGTAAATCGCTTGAGCACTGAGAAAGATAATGTCGTTTCTTTTTCAATCGAACTTTTGGGACACCCTGTATAATTAGATAATTGTTATTTTTTGTATTTATTTGTTTATCGAAGACTTAAGAAAAACTAAAAATATTTATCCGATTTTTTTGTATTTATTTTAGATTGATAAGATAAGAAGTGGTCTATTAAAGATGTCTCTAGATGATTAGCTGATAATAACTTGGATAAATATGCTGAAAAAATTTAATCTATTGATGAACCACTTACTTTTTTAATATTCGATGTATTTTTCACCTATTTTAGACCCAATTGATGGATTATCTTTATAACATTTAAGTTTATTATCAAATGAATAGTTATTATCGATTGACACAGATGATATAATGTTATTAACAAATCTAACATGCTCTTGAAATAACACTCGAAAAAAACTTGTGGTGTTAAGGAAGTAATGTGTTTTCAAATAATAAGCAATGAATCAAATAAATTATCAATTGTCAATTATTTCAATGTTTACAATGAACAGCAACAACTAACTTAAAATAACTCCACCAAATTCATATACACCAATTGAATAGCTTGATCAATCTTTATTTAATTCAAATTATTTACAACTTACTGATGCACCATTTGACTGATGATTAATTAACTATTAGATAATTCTTCAATATGTTAAACAATATCTCAATCAAGAAAAAAAATTCATTAAATTACGTGTTTCTAAATTTTGATAAAGCTTTTCAGCAAGCTGCTCAAAATCTACTATCAAAAGACTTTGGAACACAATACGAAAAGAAACAACAATTAATAAATAATAATTCATCATAATATGCTCAATACTTGTGGTATTGATTTTTAACAAACATCATTTAAATATCATTCAATATAAGTTAAGATCAAAAATAAGTCTCCATGATGTGGATGTGGGCGTATTTAAAGGATTAATCACACCCACACCCTTCTTTCAATATATTCTAAGAATTATTCAGCTCCATGACAATTAAATTTTCTACTTTTAATAATAACACTTTATTAGAATAACTAACATGAACAATTAAGATTGATTAAATACAATGATTAACAGAATTGTACAAAGAAAAAGTATTAGGAATTTTTTGTAGAATTTTTTTTTCAATATCGCACATAATTTTATTTGAAAAAAAGATGATCGCTAATTATTTGGTTTAAGATCTTCAACATCAACATGAGGTAAATCTTTGAAGAAAAAATATTTAATATTATATTTTTAAAATAAAAAAAAAATTTAACCTGATATTAATAATTGTAATTCTTGTTCATTAAATATTGATATTAAATATTTTGGAATGATTTCATAAAAACCTTCTAAAAATGAATTAATTTGTTGTTTAATAGATCCAGTTATATTTTCTTGGCAAACAAATCTTATATATTCAGATTTATTTTTATTTGTAACTTTAATATTTGAACCATTTTCTATCAATTCAATAGTTTTATTAACACCAAATTCATTAACATCTAATGAAAATGTTAAATTTAAACCTAATTGTTGTATATCATTTTCTAATAATCTAACTAATTTTTTATAAAATTCTAAATCAATTAATTTCATATCTGTAAAATCTATAGGTTTATCAATAATATATTAATAAAATATATGTGTAAAATAACAATTCATATATTTCTTATCAAATATAACTTTGCCTATAAAATGTCCAATAAATTTAAAATATTCTAAATAATTTTTATTATAATATGATAAAGGATTTGGCATATATGTAATATGATCACCTGCAGTTTTCATAAATAAACCATGATTCGGATCTAATATTGAATTTGAGATTATTAAATACCATTCATTTAAAATATCATCAGCATCTTGTCCTTCTTCATCATCAAATATAATATAAAATTTATATTTCCAATCTTGTGATGAATATTGACTTAATTCTTTATATGAATCTTCAAATACATTATTACGTTTAATATGTATAGTTAAATATTTATCATGTTTATTTTCTTTTAAACGACCAAGTTCATAGTTAAAATATTTTCTTTTAATATCAAAATCAAGTAATGATAGATAATTGATTAATATATTAAATGGTCCTTCATTTAAATGTTGTTTACTTTGGCGTAATATTTGATTTAACACAATACGATGTTTATGAACAAATTCAATAAATTTTGATGTTGGATCAAAACATTCTAAATGTGATGAAGATTTTGATGTTTCACGATTTTTTTATTCAAATCAACAGTATGAATAAGAAAGAATACTTCAACAACTGGTTGAATAATTAAAACAGCATGTGGATCTGATAATTTAGATAATGATAATAAACAATCATTTAATGAATCCCATAATTGACTCAGATTTAATACATCATTTAATTTTGTTTGTTGAAATGATAAAAACTGTTTAGATGGTTCAATTTGTTGAATTAAATGATAAATATCATGAATTTCATTTATTATTTTCTCGTGATGATGTTCAATTGTATTTGAATTTAGTATTGTTTGTAAATTTATACATATTTGTTCAACACGATTATTTAATTCATTTATTGATTGAAGAATGTCATGTTGTTGATTATTATTATTTGATGAAAAAGATAAACGTAATGTTTCAAGATTTTGTGTTAATGTAGAAGGTTCAGTTTCAAAATATGATTGAATATCAATTTGTTCTTTTTTTGTTTCTTCATTTAATTGAATAATTAGTTTAAGAATATGTAATAAAAATTGTTGATTTCCAGTTTTAGATGTTAATGCAATTATAGATGATAATTGTAAATATTTCTGTTTAGTATTTAAATCATTATTCATCAATGGAATTGCTTTGTATAAATCAAATAATTTAACAGATTCGTCAAACGGTTTATCATCATTTATTGTTGTATTTGATTTAGCTTTTGATAAATAGTCTTCAATTTCCAAATGTAATTGTCTAAATAATAGCTTAAAAATGCAGAATATAATATTCAGAAAAAGATTAGATCAATGAGTTATCTATAGGCATGAGGAGAGTTAGGTAACTCAACTCAATTCAATTCACGAGAGAATGTTTTCAACTGTCAAATCGTCTTTTTCACTTCAGACTATTGTCAGTTGATCGGTCTTAGTGAGAAATGAAAGTCTGTTTTGATTTTACTGTTCCAATCTTCTCTTGTTGACTTATGAACGTTTTACTCGATTTTCAAACAATTTGAATGGTTGCATTTCGAGCTAAAATTTTGCTCATACATAAATGTTACAGGCACTAGAAACTTCGCAAAGTTTGAACCAGAATCAAGGTACTCTTATTGAGCTATCAGTTTGTCATCGAAGGTTCCCTATTTTGAAACATAACAAGAAACAGACCATTTTTTTCCTGAAAATGTGAATATATCGGTAAGAGAGCTTTCGCTCGGGCTCAAACTTTGAGGAATTTATAGTGTCTATAACATCTATCTTTGAACGAAATTTCAGCTCAAAATTCAAGTAAAATGCTCATAAGCCAACTAGAGAAGACTGAAAAATCAAATCAAAATAGACTTTTTCAGCTGCTCATCAAGATCGATCAAACGACAATAGTCTCAAACGAACTCTATACTTTACTGATTGAATATTTATTTATTTATTGTGTTTAAAAGAAACATACTTAAATTCTTCGTTAACATCTTTGCTTAATAAATGAATACCGTTAATTAATAAATGTAGAACTTTATCTTTAGTAACTTGATTTATTTTGGATATATTTAATAAAAATAAATTTGCAAATTCTAGGCCATATTCAGTACATGATTTTGATATTAATATTTTAATAAATAAATCTAATAGATTATCTAAAAAAGCTTTATTATCGGATAGAATTATTTTATTATTTTCTTGTTGAGAATTATTTGTTGTTTTAATTAATTTTAAGGATGAAATATATTTTCTTTTGGTAAGAGTTTGTGATATTAATGAAATAAGTTTAAATAATTTATCAATCAATTTTTTATTCTTATTTAATATTGGATGTTTAAACATAAGTAATAAAATATCTAATGGTGATGATTGAAAATTAATTTCATTATTATTATTATTATTTATATTTGAATAATTATTAAATGATTGATTTAATTTATAAATTAATTCCCAAAATGATACAACAATTTGTTGATTATTATTTAATGGTAAGAAAAGAAATTCTTCAGGAAAATATTTATATAATAAAATTAATAAATCAAATACTTGACAACAAAACATATAACATAATTTTTCATCAATAAATATTTCTATTAAATTATGATATTCAATTTTAAAAAGATTTTTATGCATACCAAATGCATTTTCATAATAAATATTTAACCATAATGAATTTAGATTTTTAATTTCTGATTGAAATATTGATTCATCATATTCTATACGTCCAGTAGATTTATTAATAATTGATAATAATGATTTTATAATCCATTGTCTTGTATGTTTATGATAACATAAATTTTTAATAATATTTTGTAAACAATTAAAATTTAAATGTGTATCATTAATAAATAATAAAACAAGAAAACAACATATTGATTCATAATCAAGTAATTGTTTATCACAAATATCTATTATTGATGTTTTATTATTTATATTTTCTGTATGATTTTTATATTCTTCATCTTGTTTTTCTAATAATTCAATTATTTTTTGATTTTAATATAAAAACAATATCATGTACATATGATCCATCAAGTATGATACTTTCTTCTATCCAACGTGATAATGCTGTATGTCTTTTTTATAGATTTTTGTTTGCTGTTTGATCATGTAAACATTTTGATGATTTACAATCAACAATATCATTTCTAATGAGTATTCTATCTAATTGATGAAATGGTGAAAAAGTATTGGAATTTAATTGATTGTCATTAGGAGGAAAAAGTAATGGATGTAAAATAGAAATATTCATTGATAGGAATGATGAATTAACTAAGAAAAAAAAATAATTGAATGTATAAGTTATTTTTGTGTTAGGAAAATCAAACCTGTATTATTAGTTGATAGAAAATCAGTCGTAGAAATTCGAATATCTTGAAAATTAGATATTAAATCATTTGATGGTTGATGAATTTCTTCATCATTATTTTCATCATCAGATTGTTTATTTAATGATGTTTGATCTTTGAAAAGAAAAAAAGAAATCAAATAGATAGAAGATGTTTCATAAGTCTTGAGATCGATCTCTCTAACAAAAATGTTGGATATTTCAATCATTTATTCTATGAAAACATTACGTGCGTAATGAAAAACAACATGGGAATTTTTTTGTTTTACCGATAATATTCATTAAAATGTTTGATAAGTAGATATTGTCTCGTCAATGGTTTTTGATAAAACAATCAAAAAAAAAAGACGTACATGTCGATTTCTACTATTCTTTTATTTTGTTAAAACTAATTATTGAGTTTGTCGTTTGAATAAATGAGTGAAATATTCAGCATTTTATTAGAAAAAAATTTTTTTCATACTTAGACTTTTATTATTACAAGAGAAAATGTCATTTGAAAGACGGACATGAATATTTAAAGTTCATCGGTTAACGATTATCTTCTGTTTGCATACAAACTAACTTTGTTAAATCTCAACAATTTTTATATCTACCTGTTAAATGAACATTAAGATTATGTTCAACATTAGTTGTTGTAACAAGTTGATTATTATCAATAGAAAATTTATTTATTTCATGATTATATAAATCAAATAATGTTGATTGTTTAGATGATTTCTGTTCATTGGAAATATCTGATTTATATAATGATTTTAAGTAATTAATAATATTTGATAATGTTTCGATTGATTTAAGTATAAGATTAATTGTATCAATTAATTTTGGATTTGAGATTTGAATATAATGAATTATTTTAGTTAAATCATTAATTAAATTATGTTTATATATTAAATTAATTGTATTATTATTAATAATTAATTTTGATATTGAACATGATTCCATTAATTTATTTACAAAAAATTAATTAATGTTTGAATTTTAATATATTTTTCATTAGATTCAGGTAAAATTAATATTTTATTTAATGATATTTTAATTTGATTAATTAAATTATTTTGAGATTCAAAATAATGATTAGATTTCGCTAGTGTAATAAGAAATAATTCAGAAAATTTTGTTATATTTCTATCATATTGATTATTTATATTTAATAATAAATAATCAAATATATATGATAATAATGAACATGTTTGATTATTTTCTAACAGAAATGTTTTTGTTGATAGAAATTTATCCATATTTGAATATGAATTTATTAATTCAGATAATATATATAAGATAGTTGATTTTGTTAATAAACGTTTTTTATTATTATCATCATTTATTAAAAGAAAGTTAAGCAAATCATCTAATAAATGTTCAGCTAATTCTCCAATTTGATCATAATTAGTTATTTGATTTGTTTCTGGTCGTACGTGTAAAATTAATGAATTCATTTGAATATTTGTTTGTGTATAATATTCATTTTCCGTCATAAATGATGTTGGTAATAATTGTAAAACATTCGATACAACTTCTAAAAATATATCTGATGAACGTGTTATAACTGGACTAAGTTTACGTAAAATTAAATTAAATTCATGTGAATCATATTGTACACTATGATTATCTATTAATGCTTGACGTATTGATTTTTCCATAGTTAAACATAAATTCTTCTTATCTTCCATAATATGACGAAATATTAATATAATTAATGATGTATAACCTTGAAATGCTGATATTTCTGTTAAATTTAAAATTGCTTTTATTCCACCTTTTTCTACAAATTGCTGAACATATTTATAATTACGTGTTAAACGTAATATAAGACGTAACAATGCATGAATTGTATCAGAATCAACTAACGTACGAATTAAATCTATACAATTATTTATTAATATAAATGCTTGTTCATCAGATAATGATTCATTTGTATTTATTTTTATTATTGATTTATCAAATGTTAACATAATTGGTTGTTCATTATGCGTATTTTCATTTATTTGTAACATTTTATTAAATTCTATAAGATAATTTTGATTTTGCATGATAATTTTATATGATGAATTACCATTAAAATATGCATTATTGATTTGTTTATTTTGTTCTACTGCATAATTAGTCCATTTAAGGAGATTTTCCTCAAACCATTGCCATATATGATTTGAATTTTCATTTATAATTGAACGATTTTTTGTTATTAAAGAAATATTTTCATATAAATCAATATATAGAAATATTAATGTTAACCATTTAGGAGAGATTTTTTGATTGAATTGAATTAAATATTTAGTTGTAATTATGATGAATTAACATAGAAAAATAATTAATTAAAGAATATTTTTTTGTTATTTGTAAACATGGAAATGGAATTTCTTTAAATAATAATAAAATTAATAATATTCTATTAAATAAAAGCGAATTTTGATGATTATTTAAAAAAATTTGTTGATTTAATAAATCAATTAATAATAAATAATTTGTTTTTATGTCATTGAAAATTATCTCAAGAAAATTTTCACACCATTTAATATCATTATGATGAATTATTGTTAGAATTAATTCAGACATTTTATATATAGTATCAGGTAATTTATCAAGAATTTTTAATATAATTGAATTAATAAAATTATCAAAAAATTCTAATGAAAGACATGTTTGTTGTTGTTGTTGTTCTTCTTCTTCTTGAATTTTTTTTTGTATTTGTATTTCACCACTTAATATGTGAGACAATATTGATAATATATTATTAATTATTTTAGTTGCATGATCTTTTAATAAATATGGTTTATCCCATAATATAGAACATGAATTTGTTAATAGATGAAATGTACGTTTATGTGTTAAGATTAAATAATCTAATGGATTAAATGGAATGTTATCATTTTGTTCTGTTTGAGATTTTTTTGATATTGAATATGGAGATTCAAGAATTGATTTAACATTAACTAAATGTAATATAAATATAAATGCTGAATGAAGAAATTCAATTGATAACGATTAATTTGTATTTTGTTGATTATATGTTATTAATGATTGACGATTTATTAAATTAAGTGTCCATTCAAGAGCAGAAAATAATGCATCTTGAGTTTTAGATAATTCAAATTGTTGTAACATTAACATATAAGGATGATGATGTTTATCAAATAACATTGGAATAGCAAAACTAAATAGAAAAGAGAAAACAATTTTCAATTTAATCTTTACAGTGATCTGCTGTTTCATAGTTTGATGATATAGTCAAGCGATTCAGACTCGATTTGTATTTAGCCTCGAATCTGAATAGAACTACGTGATAGAAAACAAAAGATGCCAAATCTTATTGGAAAAAAAACGCTCAAACCTGAACCCGTTCGAGTCTTGATCCAGAAAAATATGTACCTACAGCTTCCTAAATAGTCTCACTTTCATCCTCTTGTGATTATAGGAACACTGTTTTTTACTTTCGAAGCTCCAATATTCGAAAAATTATTGTTATTATTTAATGAATCTGTATTGAATAAAATATCTTACCCAATTGTACAAATAAAAAATGTTAAACGTAATTTTTCAATTTGATTTTCTGTTAAATTTGTATTTGCTGATAAATTAAATGATAATCCATCTTTTAATACTTCTATTAATATTGATGCAACAAGTGTTGCAGCTTTGGTTGGTGTATAAACAAATGATTGTTGATTAAAACGTCTGCTAATTGGTTTCATTTGTGATGTTGCACATTGTTTAACAAGTAAATTGTAAAATTCACTTAATGCTTGACTAAGTTTAGATGAAACATATAATAATGGTTTTATTGTTTTAATAAATATTTCATTTGTTGTTAAATCATTTTCAATTATATTTGTTTCAAATGAACATAAAGATAACAATATGGATTTTTCATATATTAATGTTAAACATAATTTATTTAAATTTTTTAATATACGTATACCGATTTCATTACTCAAAAAATTAATTAACAAATTACGTACTTCATTTTTACTTATTTTACAGAATGATATTAATAATGATATATGCGAATGAACTATTGATAATTTATGAAGTATTGTTGTTGATGATGATAATGATATAGAACGAGATAATTCTTCTATTAATAATGAACTATCGTAATTAGGATTTGAGTAAAAATCTGTTAAAGAAATTAATATTGTATCAAGATTTGTTATAACCATTTCAATTAGATTATCATCTTTAATTGAAAGAGTCTAAAATAAAAAGAAACAAAAAAAAAACAGTCTTTGTTTGATCTCTATAGTTTAATAAGTGGTGCGAGGGCTACGATGTTTCTCTGCTGTTAAAATCCCTATAAGAAACGTCCTCCTCTTAGTAAAATTTGCGTTGAATAATAGTAAAAAGGTAAACTATATTGATACTGCATAGTTTCTGTTGACAGTGCCGAATCATATTCGTGCATGGTCACAGACTAATCCAAGATCTACTCCTTTCATTATTAACTACCGATTAATTGTATCTATATATATATCTACATTATTTTTTTTTCAAACTGATCAAAACTCTAATTATATGTAATTTACAGACATCATCTAGCTTAATTAAATTGCATTTAGATATATATTCGAGATATTCAATATTATAAAATCAATTAATCGCTTATAGATGATGTCATGTATAAATAATTAAACTTACGAGTATTGATTTACAAAGTGCAATAACAGATTGACAAGCTTGACTTGATGGAAAATCAACTGGTAAATATTTCATTTGTAAAATCTCAAATAAAGCTTTTAAACCACCTAATCTAACAAATTCTCTTCCATGATCATCGGTTAGATTATTATTAATAACACCTTTGATTAAGCACGTTATATTTGTTATATAATCAACTAATGGTATAGATATTCGAACATTTGTTGTTGATAGATTTGAGTTGTCATTGTTACCCAATTCAACAAGTTTTTCAATTAAAATAATTATTGATATTATTACTGGATAACGTAAAATAATTTGATGTCTTATTAATTCATCAATAGAATTTCCAAAAATTAATGACGTATTATTATCATGTCGTTTTATCATAATTGGTAAATATTTCGGTAATAAAAAAATCTCAAATAATTTATCAAATGGTTTAAATTTAATAAAATTATCTAAACCATGTTTATTTAAACATAGTCCAGAAAATATATTTGGTAAAGATTCTATAATATCTTTTGAAATTGGTAAATCTTTTTTTAAAAGGACATACATTAATATATCAGCTAAACCATTATTTTGTAATAATGATAATTTTAATGGATTTTGACATATAAATGATATTAG